CCAAACCAGCTAGGGCAGGGCTAATTATTTTAGCTATATTTTCTTACTTTCAGTATTCTTGACACTCTGGCCCTGTGGCCTGGCTGACTGGGAAGACACCGCCCCTCCCAGGTCTAGCCAATTCTTAGAGCTCAGGCTCCCACTCCTTATGCCTTTCACATACAACCAACCCATCCAGAGCCCACACCTCTGCCACCTCCTGACCCAACTCTTAGTGCCACATCAGCATTTCCCTCCCCGTGCCAGACAACTCGGACAGCCTCAGGCCCTGAGCCACTGGCATGATTTAAACTAGCCATTCCTGAACGGTTTGCCCTGCCCGGTACTGAACTCCCAATGACTCTGGCCTCACTTCCCCTTGCTCCTTTTGCCTCCTGGCCGAAACCTCATGCCGCAGCGTGGGAAATACAATCTTGTTGCAGTGGCACTGGCCAAGCCATGTCCTCGTTTAGTTGCCTCCATAAATTAAAATTAAAATGAGATGGTAACCTTAACAAATACAGTGGTCACTCCACCTTCTAGCTGCTGAGGCCGCAAGTCTCGGCTAGAATCCCTCTGGACTGCTCTGCTGTTGCACTTCACACCCAGCCTGCCAGCAAACACTTTTGACTCTGCCTTCAAAAGGCAGACATCCCACTCCTTTCTCTGTTCCTTCTCTGCCACTCCTTGGGCTCCGCAGCGGCCTCCTCGCTGGTCTCCCTGCTTGCTCGCTGGGTCCCTTTCAGACCCTTTAGAAACCTAAACATGATGCTGCCCCTCCTCCGCTCACACCCTCTGATGACTCCTCTCACTCGGAGTGAAAGCCACAGTCCTGATGACAAGGACCAACAGGTCCCAGAGGGTCTGACTCTCCCCCCGCACCCCCTAAGGATGTTGTCACCTTTATCCTCCTTCCTACGACACCTCCTCGCTTTTCCTCTAGCACGGCTGGCTCACGCCACTACTTCCAGGTCTTTGCTCAAAGGTCACCTGCTTGATAAGGCTCAGCCTATCTTTTTTAAAAAGTATATATTTTATTGATTTTTTACAGTGAGGAAGAAAGAGGGATAGTTAGAAACATTGATGAGAGAGAAACATCGATCAGCTGCCTCCTGCACACTCCCCACTGGGTATGTGCCCGCAACCAAGGTACATGTCCTTGCCCAGAATCGAGTCCACAGGCCGATGCTCTATCCACTGAGCCAAACCGGTTAGGGCCTGACCATCTTTTTAAACAGTTGCCGCCCAGAGCCACAACTGGAACTCATACCCCTGGTCTGCTCTTTCCTTCCCCGCAATGCTTACCACTTCACATAACACCTAACATTAGGTGTGTTCTTTATGATGGCTGCCAAACACCCCATCCCAGCAAGAACACAGGCCGTTCTTAGGATTTCTCATCAGGGTGCACATTTGCATCCCCAGCGCACAGCATTGTGAGGTCTGTTCTTTTCTTGACACCACATCTTGGGGAAAAAAGAGTTTATTATTATTGTCCCAACAACATGAGATCAGATGATATTTTACATACACGGGAGTTTCACCCTGATATTAATGTAAATTCTTTTAGGATTTCATCTTGCTTAACCCTTTCAACACTATAAACATTTCCTCAAAAGCTCCGATGATGTTTCCATCCTGTCTTGATGGTGCCTGGGGGGTGGTACCTGAGACCTGGCACTGGAGCTAGGCGGCCCAGGGGGTCTGCATTCGTCAGCATGGTCTGTCAGTTAGTCAAGTGGAACAGGCTGCGGGAGGTCAGGGGCCAGAACGTGCCACCCACACCTGGCTTCAGGAGCGGCCTTTCGGGAGCCCAGGTGCTCTGGGCATTCCCTCGGAGGGGCAGGCGTGAGGGGAGGTGGGCCCCAGCCTGCTCCCATCCACAGTGCGTGCCAGGCTGCGGAGCAGCTGGTGAACCGATAGCCCCGTTTGCCTATTCTCTGTGTTAAATAGAAGTATAAATCCTGCACACATGCAAGAAAGCACAGAGAAATTAACAAGACAGTGCTGCAACAGAAGTGCTGAGCGCCTGGCGCCGGACGAGGAGGAAGCAGGCACTGCGTCAGTGCCCCAGGTGGCCTCAGCCCTCGTAGCCCTCAGGGTCTGGGGTCTTCAATGGCCCCGAAACCTCCAGAGCCACAGGTCCAGAAAGAGGACTGGTGTCTTTAACAAAACGGTTTTGATTTAGAAATAAGACAGACTCACTGCTTAAATACCTTTATTATTTTTTTAAAAAATTATTTGGACATTGATAGCTTTGCAAAATACTTCTCCCATCCCAAACCCTCAAACCTTTTCCACACATCCTCCCTAAAAAGACAAAATATTCGTACTTTGCACCCATTCACATCTAATTTTTAAAAACATATAACTCAAAATGAAATATTTTTCTTTTTCAGAACTCATTAGTTATTTTAAACCACAATGCAACATACTTAATGGCATTTCTTTTTAAAAATTAGCTTATCAGACTATTTTATGAGGAAAAAATCAATTCAAGGCCTTAAAGAGACTAGAAATTCCCTGTTTCTGGAAGCAGATGACATTGAAAGCCCCTGGAGTCTGTAATTCCACACTAGCAACAGCGCTGCTCCCGACGGACACCTGCTCCGGCCGGGCAGTGCAAGGTGCTTCTGGCTGCAGCCGAGGAGCTGGGAAGGGCGGGAGGATAATTCCAGCACAACAGAGCGACAGGCCGGGACCACAGGAGGGACGCTTTCTGAGCAGTGCAATGAACGCCTCTCGGCAGGCTTGCTTGGGGCAGAGGAAGATGTGGGAACCTGCAATCTACACTAACTTCTGAATGACGAATACAAGTGTCAACAAAAATATTGCACATCATACCAGAGGCACGAAACCACGGAGAAGGCTCCAGAAAGAGTAACTGCAGATGGAGATGAGCCCCAAAGTGCCTTCGGGAATGAGCGAGAGAAAAGGAGTCCATGTGGATGGCACAGGGGTTACTGAGAGGCGGCAGAAAACAATCCCTTCCTTGTCCTCAAAGGGCAGGTTTTACGCGGACAAACCTTCATCACAGATGTGTCCGAAAGATCTAAGGAAGGTATCACGTCTTCATTTTCCCCAATACAACCGGGGCACTTCATTATGCGGCTAAAAAGGAAGAAAGAAATCCTACATAGAACCCATCTGGCTAGCTGAGCACCATCGGTGTTTGCAAATGTCCTTCCCTGGCTGTGCAACCAACCCACCAACCCACGGACCTCTCCGAGCCACGCGGAGGCCCTGACAGCTGCAGGGTGGCCTCTCACCTCCCAGTGCCCTGCGTGAGGCCTGTATCCTTCAAGGAGCTTGCAAAAGGCAGGTGATGCTTCGGAGCATGCTGTGGGGAGAGTGGAGATGACAGGGAAGGCGCCTGTCCCTCCTTCACACTCAGGGACGCTGGCCAGCTAAACTGAGGCCGCATCACTGTCCATCAGCTGGGTTTGACCCAGACCCACATATTTGTTGCCGGAGTTTTAAAATCAAGAAAACATTTCTAACTCATCTCTGAGAATGGACACAGTTCAATTCTCCACTGAAGTCACTGAGGCAACTTTTTAGGGCTCCATAGCCCTAGCCTGACTAGACGGGTTGGTCACGCCTCTGCACAAAGCCTAGGACGGTACATTCCAGGCGCCCCAGGCTGTTGCTGCCCACACACTTCTCCCCGAAGGCTTCCCCTGACATGCACTCTCAGTTACTAGTAGTCCATATGTCATTAAAAGGCAAGTTGCTCTTGAGTAAGACTCCCAGAATTCACGTGGGCCCTGAGTCCCCATGGCCCAGGATGCGCGCCTGGCAGCGTGCTCTGCTCCTCCCACGGTGCGCAGTGGGAGCCTGCGCTCTTGCACTCTGAGTCTTGTAAACCACTGGGAGGTGCCAATCCCCCCAAAGCCGTGCCCACAGCTATGGCTGCAACTGATGCCAACCTATTGAGCTTTTAAAACATGAAACAAAAACAAAACAAAATACACACACACACCACACACACACACATACACTTACTTTGGCACGTGAGCCTTGAGTTACTTGAGCATTTCCTGTCCCTGCCCCTCCCCATCCCAACATTTCAGTCGCTCTGTTAGGAGAATGAGGCCCTTCTGTGAGAGAGAGATCACCATGAAGCACTGCTGTTCCGAGTCGCAAGAGGAGGAGCTACAAATGCTAAACCAGCCCCCCAAGCAGTCCTCACGTTTAGCATTATACTTTATGCAATGCTGCAAAACTTCTGTACCAGGACAACCAGTTTCAAACTGCTGGTTGATTAAATATACATTTACATATAGATATAGGTATAAAAATTACTAAGTCAACATTTGCTGTTTTCAATGTGAAAACAATAAAATGTAATTCTGAATAATTGTGCCTTTACCATAAGGTCCTTGTTAAAGGGATCATAAAAATAATTTTGCAATAAAAAAAACTTTTTAAAAAAGTTTAGTATTGCCCTCAAGTTCAAAAGTTTGGAGCAAATGTGCTGAGTAAGCAGGACTGGCATCTGTTCCTGCCACGGGCCTGGAAGCCTTACACTGAGTGACCCCTGGTGGCGGCCCCGGGTGCCTGCCAGCCACGGCCAGCTTGGTGTAGACCTCACGCGGCTGGGCAGCGCCAGGGGACTCGGGTGCCTTTCTCTGGCGGACACCGCTGCAGCGCGCCCCCTCCCTGCCTGGAGCTCAGGCAGCACCCCGTGCTGGGCTCTGCCTTTTCTTGAGCACCCAGACTTACGCCACTGGGGCGGGGTCTTGGTGAGGCCCACTGAGCACCAAGGCTGAGGGTGACGGCTGACCTTCTACTCGGCTGGAGGCAGGGCCGGAGGGAAGATGGGCATTTCAGTGACACAGAAGTTAGCTGTGCAGGAAGGAAAGTGCATATAAGGTAGCTTAAGAACAGGTTAAGAGCAAACTGCCACAGAGAGGGAGGAGAATGGAGCCAACCCCTGCCTGCGGCCGGCCTGCCCCGTGGGCTGACATCCATGCTGTCTGACGTGTTGCCCATGAAGAAACGGGCACATGTTCTCCTGGTTCCGGCAAGCACACAATTTTCTTGGCAAAGTTCTTTTTTGCCAAGTTCAGTTTTATTTGATTGCTGTTCTGAACCACTGTCACCGGAATTCATAGATGGGTGCGCTGTGTTCAGGAACGTGCGTTAGGTTGAGCGACTGATACCTGCAGGGAGACAAACGGAGGCAGCAGTCTCAGCATCCTGACCACCGAACAGGGATGTGTGAACACCCAACCGAGCACCCAACACGCCGCACACTCGCATGGGATGCAAACCCACCTCAGACTTCAGGCGAGCGAGGCGTGATTTACTTCTATTCCGTTACTATTCCTCCTGAGTTACGCATAGAATAAGACGTTTAGGCCTCCTGCTCTAATCATGAAGCAATGCTAGTGGGTCTTATAAAAGGAGAGGCTGTGTAGCTTTGCGAGAAGACAGACTGGAGTCCTGCCTCTCTCCCTGCCGCTCATCCTGCCTCTCGTGGACGTCCAGCACCTCAGCTCCTTCTAGAAGGCCAGGCTATGATGTCCTCTGAGCTCCTGGGAACACAGGCACACCCCACTCCCTGGAACCCAAAGAGAGCACGGGAAAGAAAACTTCACCATCTACTTTCATTCTCTCGCTCCCCAGACATGGCTGTTGGACACTGAGAGCCTCAGAGAGCTCCATGGTGGCGTGTGTTTCCCTGTGGGCAGGTGCGCCTGGGGCCCAGCAGGCAAAGGAGAAAGAGGCCAGGACCACACGGCGGGAGGACCCCCAGGGCGGTTAGAGTGCTGGTGTGGTGCTAGCTCTCCCTGACTTGTTTCACACAGAGAGGAGGAGCACAGCAAGAAACAGTTTATTTCTTACCCAGAAAATCATCAAGAAAGGATTATGCATTGGCCATCAGAGGGTACTATAATCATAAGACATCAAAACAAGTATTGCTAAGGATATGGAGAAAGTAGAAAAATTGTGACCAGCATGCATTGCTGATGGGAAATGCAAAATAGTGTAGCTGCTGTGGAAAATGGCACAGCTGCTTTTTGGTGGCTCCTCAGAAAGTTAAAAATAGAATTACCAAATGACCCAGCAACTCTCCTCCTAGGTGTGTGCCCAAAGGAATTGAAAGCAAGAACTCAAACAGATACTTGTGCATCCATGTTCAGAGCAGAATTAGTCACCGTGGCCAAAGGTGAAAGCAGCACAAGTGTCTATCGAGGGATGAATAGACAAACAAATGTGGTCTATATCCTTACAACGAAAAACCACTCACAATACATATGAAGTACTAATATACGCTACAGAGTGGCTGAACCTCCAGGCCTTTACGCTAAGTGAAAGAAGCCAGGTGCAAAGGCCACACAGTGTCTGATCCCACTTCTATAAAATACCGAGAACAGGCAAATCTATAGAAACAGAAAGCAGGTCAGTGGTTGCCCGGGGTGGGATGGGATGGGGTGTTGGACTGATAGCTGAGGGAGCACAGGGTTTCTTCCTGTGGTGATACAAATGTTCTAAAATTGATGGTGGTGATGGTTGCACAACTCTTAATATACTAAAGGCCACTCACTGCACTGTATGCTTTATGATTTATATCTCAATAAAGCTATTATTTGAAAAAGAATAATGAAAAGTTTTAAAAACTCCTTTTGAAAACAATTTATTGAAATCCTAATAACTGTGGCTCTCAGAGGAGCTGGGACCACCCTGAGCCCAAGTGCACTGAATAAGATAGTTGAGTCAACCCAGGGTAGGGTCACTCACAAGTCACCAAAGTGTGAAAATTTTGAAAGGAAATAAGGTCATTCTATATTCAGAGAAGAAATCAGGTATTTTATGAAATGGTTCGCCCTTCAGGTATAACAAGATGCTTAAAAAGCAGCAAGGAGGCAGGAGAGTCCTCAAAAAGGTGTCAATAACGAGCACCTGCAGTGGCATTGGGTCGTTTACCTCAAACCAAACACAGGGCAGGACTGTCAACTCCCACAGGCCCCTCGGTCACCAGGCTAAAATCAAGTGCACAGGGACCTGCAAATTCCTGTGACCAGGAATGTGACCAACAAAATGAAAAAGACTGCTGACAGCAAAATTCAGCCTGCAGCTGGATCTGACATTTCAGTTGCTGGTTAAATTTGGGAGGAAGAAGTACAAACCCAACAAGACTGAGATACACACTGCTGAACACACAGTAGTGCCGGCACGCACTGAGTGCTTTTACCGCGTGCTGTTTCCGGCCCATTCACTCAGCTCTGTGGATGGGGATGAGCGCTAGTCCAAGCAGCTGAGACCATCTAAGGAGGCCCCCAGCATCCACACAGCATGGCATTCACGCAGACTGGCACAGGTTTCCTTTGGGATTTGGTGAGCCCAGTGAGAGCCGGGGGGGCTCGGGGCCTCCTTACCATTCTGAGCTCCTATGGTAATAGTAGCCCTCTATGGAGGCTGCCGACTTCTGGAAGCAGATGTAGTAGAACCCGGCAAAGGAAGCACCGCTGATGTCTTTGATTGTGTGGTCTGGGACCAGGAATTGTTCCTGCATGCAGATGGGGAAGGTCAGTAACAGCATCCTCCTCGCAGCTCTGGAGCCTCCTGTTAGCCATCAGACGGCTCTAAGGCTCCACCATCACATGGTCTAGCCCGGAGGTGTGTTTTCTCCCACCCACCTTGTGAACAGCATTCGTAGGCCATTCGAGCATCCTACTTACTACTACAGAAAGCTGTGTCTGGAGCTCACTAGGATCAGCACCAAGAGAAGGTGACATGGTCCACACATCTCGTAAATGAATCAATACCTATCTAATTACCTACCTTTCAGAGCTCACAGGCAGGACGACCTGCGGAGCAAGTCTGTGCTCCACTTCAGGGACTGTCACTAGTTCCTGATCGTCTCTAGAACAGTGGGTCACTTCTATGGCCTGTGGATCACTCTGAGGGCAGCTCAGTCATCAGTAGCCCTTGTAATAACCCTTTCAAAAGGTCTACACCTCATCAAAAGCAACAAGAACGTTCCTGGTCTTGGTCAGGCACTTGCAAAAGGTAAGCTTTTATCTCTGGTTGGAGCCAAGAGTGTAAAGGCTGCATCCTATTACCTACTCTTCTGGGGAGACAAGGTCAGAGGTCAGGGCCCGGGGAGGTATAAAAGCCTCTGGTGAGTCACCCTGAGAAATTATTTGCAGAAAGCACAACCATTGCTTTTTTGATCTTTCCTCAAGCTCTGAAATTGTAATTTTAAAAATTAACTTTAAAATTAGAACCATACAAGATACTTCTTTTAATGTGTTATTTAGATGGCGTATCTCCAGTAGATGGCAAACTCACGAGGGCAGGGCTCAGTACATGGCAACTCTCCTGAAAGGGTAATGATCTCCATCCCCCAAAACTATTAACTGTACAAAGTAAAGGCTAGGAATGACTACTCTCCATGTTTTGTGCATGTGAAAGCCAGCAAAATTTCATGGTAAAACAGCCGTTTCCTTTAGACTGGGGAGTAGGGCTTGGAGGGAGGTGTATGTTCACAAAGTGACTTACAAACTTGCTCCATGGTTTTGCTGTCCTATGGCCATAACGCAGCAGTTACCATGCTACCAAAGCAGAGAGCACATGTGACTTCTCTGCCCAAAGCCAATCCACAGAGTCCACCCCCCGGCAGAGTTCTCGGGCTGGTGAGTGGAAAACCTGAATTCCATTCCTGGTCCCTCATTTCCTGAGCTGGAGGGAACCAGCGGAGCTGAACTGCGCTGGGTGAGCCCTGCACAAGCCATGGTGACGGAGCAGTCACTGACATGGCATGCCAGCCCATGGCTGAGAAGAGGGGATGGACAATGACTACATTTAAGGAGCATTAGGCTCTCCCCTGAACCCACAGAACACTAAGGTTGATTCAACTTGAAGTGCCCCAGGGATTCCTGGGGGGAGAAAGGAGGGAGAGGACATGAACATCAGTTTCGGGGTGCATTCACTGCTACACTGCACAGCTTAACCAGAGCATACCCGTGCGGTGACAGCTGTGAACCGGTGTGCCTCGGAGCTGTGCCTGCCTCTCATGAGTGTGTAGAGACCCGGCCAAGAAGACAAAACTGTAACAAGCACTGGACACGGGAGCAGATGGGGGTTCCCTACAGGAGCCGCACAGTCGGAGAGCCGCCTGCAGGGGCTTACCTTCCACCGCATGAAGACATAATCCCCATTCTTCAGCTCTTCATAATCAAAGTCATCTGAATTAAAGGATTTTGCATACTGATAAAAAGCCAGGAACTTGCCCTGAAAGCAAACACGAGAGGAAGAGACTAGGGTGAGAGGAGGCTGGGGTCAGGGCTGCCCTCCTGCCAGGTGCAATCGCCCTCTCAAGGGCCCCACAGCAGGTAGTGGCACCGCCAAGAGCAGCGGCGGCTGAGCACTGGGAGAGGAGTCTTTGGTCGCTCCACTGATCAGGCCTGGCCTCTGGACGGAACCGGCATAGCCCGCTCAGGGACCTCGGCCTGAGGAAGCGGCAGGATGGAAGCACACAACCCAGGAGCCTGTTCCCAGAACACATCACTGCAGACAAAGCCGGAAGCAGAGGAAAGATCTCTGCAGCCTGAGGCAGGCAGGCAACCAGGAGAGGCCTGGCCGACGCGTGCACAGAGGCTGGATAGGGCAGTGTATGGTTAAGTTTAAAAAAAGGAGACTAAAATAGGTTACAAAACTGTATCTTATGATCTCAGTTTTATAAAAAAAAGAGATTCAGGAAAAGGTTCATACCTGTTTTAGCTTTAGGTATTGTCCTCATAGACAATTTTTTCCCCTTTTGCTTTTCCATTTTTTCAAATATTTTAAAAACAAAAATGTATAGATTCTCCAAGAAAACATCTTAAAAAATGAGAATATAGAGATATTAACCCTTTGCGGTCCAATTTTATTTTTGGAATTCCAACAGTCTGGTCCAAATGAATTGACGGGATTGAATGTTGAACTGGTCTGCGGTGTCGACCTCAGCCTCGACGTTGGACCTGCTCCTAGCACCTGGTCTGTCGAGTCAGCCTCCACATCGGACCGAAAAGGGTTAAGTCACAGAGTTTGTTACACAGATGAAGTATATGGAACCGTGACTTTGTAGTCCCATTGTAATACCAACTTAAAATACCGCTCAGGAAAATCTGAGGGTGCAATACAATGTTTCTGATTCCAGGTCACAATGGAAAAAGGATGAGGGGTGAGGTTTATCAGACACTATTAATCCCTGACAAACAAAGGCACAACATAGGCCTCTGGGAGTGCTCTGCGGGGCCTGAGAGTTCTCGTGGGTTGGGAAAGCCACGGGAAACGCTGTGGGCTGCAGCCTGTAGGTCCCGCCATCATCTTCCCGTGCCTAGCACACCCGTGCTAGGGTGGCCTTCTCCATCCCTCTTTCACCCAAAATGTTTCAAGCTAGCCTAACAGAGGCTGGAGTCCCAGATGCTTTCCAAGATCCTAATGGGAAGGCAATGGGGAATAAGAGCTGCTTTGCTGGTATTTAATGTGCAACCAATCCGGCCTAAAACTAAGGCTTCCCTGGGTCCCAAAGACCTTGCTTTCCGCAGAACCAATCTGAGATGGAAAACGAAGCTGAATGGGAGACAAACTGTGGTTCATGACAAGGAAGAATTCTGCCACTGCGCTGCCCAGGAGAGGAAGGGGCCCCCTCACAAGGTGGCATGCTGTACACAAAGAGCCAGCATGGGGCGGGGGGACCAGGTGGTGCCAAAGAGCCCTCCAACACTTCTTTCTGACACTGGCACCATTGGCTCCCAACCTTTTGGATACTCAAATCTTGTTCATTTTCTCATATTATAGAGAAATGAATGACTAACCCAGACGAGGGTCTGCAGTAAGAGTCTTTGGCAAGGCCGGTTGGGCCAGATTCAGGAGAGAGTCTTAGAATCTTCCTTACCAACACAAGCAGTCATTTCTGGTTGGCTTAGAGGGTGAACACAACAGACTTGCTCAGTGTTAACCCAAAATTCATCGTTGCCATGGTCAACTAAGCCAAAAGCCTAAGACAACAGGCTGAGAAATGGATGTGTGTGACAACTGAAGGAAAGACTTGGGGACAGGAACTCTACGCTGCTCACTGCTGCTGAATGGAGCATGACGCCCTGGCTGGTTTGGCTCAGAGGACAGAGCCTCAGCCTGTGGACTGAAGGGTCCCGGTTTCGATTCCAGTCAAAGGCACAGGCCTGGGATGCGGGCTCGATCCCCAGTAGGGGTCGTGCAGGAGGCAGCCGATCCATGATTCTCTCTCACCATTGATGTTTCTATCTGTCTTTCCCTCTCCCTTCCTCTCTAAAATCAATAAAACTTTAATAAAAATAAAAAGAGCGAGAGCATGTCCACAGCTGACAGCTGCAGGGCGGAGACTGTGCCTGTCTGCCAGGAGCTGGGTGAGAAGAGCCCCCTGTGGTGTGGCCAAGGGTAGGAGCAGCTGTTCAGGAACTGCATTTCCACCTCACCCCCTGAGTCAGAGGCCATCACTGTACCTTTCACAGGATTCCCCCCAAGGACAGCAGGTGAGAAAGGAACCGTGGACAGGAAGGTGGACAAACGGAAAGGACAGGGAGACGTGATAAGACCCTGAGCACCATGTTTCTGGACTCTCCTTGGTGGCCCAGGGCAATCAGAGACTGACTCACCCAATGTTTCCGATCAACATCTTCATCCGCATCCCACTTTCGAGTTAAGAAAGGGTGTTTTTGGCTGATTATTTCTCCTTCAAAGAAGGTCGTAAGGGTTGGGTACTCCTATAGTCAAAACCCAAACATCAAAAACAAGATGTCAAACAGGAATTTTAACCTTTACAAAGGAAAATTAGCCTCAATTTCACTTCTTCCCCGTACTTCCAATAAAATGATCCCACCGCTAACCAACAATAAGCAGAGTTCGGCTGGCGGTGCCGATGCTGTGGACACCGGAATGGAGGGGCCGAGGTGGGGAGCCCCGGGCTTCGGGCTTGGCCGGACCAGAGAGCCCTTCTGTGACTCCCCTTACGTGTTGATTGCTCAACAAGGAATCTGGACGATTCTCACAAGTGAGTTCTGAATACTCCAGCGGACAAAGATGGTAACTAAGTAGACTGCACTTTCCAAGGAAAACACCCAAAGAGCCTCCAAAATTAGAGCCTTCACAGCTGTCTCCCTCAAGCTGAGACCTCGCCCACTGGTTCAGTGTTTTGTCCCTTTTATGCCAATTCTTCAATTTTCTAGGGGTGAATTTTTTTGTAGAATACCTTGATATACTAGATACATTTAATTCTATCATCATATAAACAAAGACGATTTATACTAGGAAATATATGTAAATTAGGTCTGCAGTGGAAAATCACAACCAGAAAACAATTCTGCTGGAAAAAATAAGTAAGTGGTGTCCCTGCCCGAGTGCTTAGATGCTCCTGCTCATTTTGCTGCTATTGTTCACTGGCTAATGAGGCACCAAATCGATGGAATAAAAAGTGACACAGTAAAAAGCCTACCATTTCTCTGCATTTGTAAAAAACCCACCCACCCACGCCTCTGCCCAGCCTGTTGGCCACTGTTTCTCGGGAGCCTGGTGGTGACGTAGCTCTGCAAACCAGTTCACAGCCCCCTCCCGGGACCAGAGGTCCTGCTTTCTTCTTCAGACCCCATGTGGGACCCTCTGGCTCTGCAGCAAACACCCATACAGATTTAAAGTAAATCTGTTCTGACGGCTTTGCCTCTTCTCCCAGCTCGACTTGCCACACGGCGCAGGACCGTCCTGAGATGCTCCCCACAGCCCCTGTGGTGGCCGGGAGACGGCATCGCCGCCACACTGCCACGGCTGCGGCCTGCTGCACGGCATACTGTCCTCAGCAGTCAACTTCCAAAAAGCAGACATTTAACACCCCCAAGCCACAACGCCCTTACCCAACCATGCTGCTGGGTTCTCCATGCAGATATTTATATAAACAGAGTGAAGAAAGAAAACGGAATAAATGGAAACCTCATTTTAAAGGTAAAACCTAAATTACACTAATCTGTTTTAGCAAAGAATACTAAGGAGAAAAAGTTAGCATCTGACTTGAGATGTTAAACTAAGCTATATAATAAATAATAATACAAGAAGAAACTCTGAAGCCTGGCTGGGTGGCTCAGTTGGTTGATCATTGTCCCATGCACTGAAAGGTCATCGGTTGATTCCCAGTCACGGCACATACCTGGGTTGCGGGTTCGATTCCTGGTCGCATTATGTACAGGAGGCAGCCGATCAATGTTTCTCTCTCACATCAATGTTTTTTTCTCTCTCCCTCTAAAAATCATTAAAACATATTAAAAAAAAGAATAAACTGTGTTTTGCATACTCATAACTTTAATTTTCTGAGTTTCAAACTTTAATATATTTTTTTAAACTTCCTTAGAAGAGACAGAAAAAAATGATAAAGTGGTCCTACTTAATGCAAAAAATTTTCATATGGTTCAAATTACATTTTCCTAATGAATGCTTCTGCACTGACTTCTCCCTAAAATACTTTAGGCAGTATATCAGGACTATAAGGTACCCCAAAACTCATAGAAGTAAATAAAATACATAGTGAATGACAACATGTACAGAAGTTACCAAAAATATCTCTTAGTGCAGGAACAGGAAACGCAAGCACCTGAATACAGCCAAATTGGTGGTAATTCATAGAGCCAAAGAACAACTGTCAGCAGAAGGAAAGCAGGAATATCAGAAAACCGGTCAGAGTGGCAGAGCCAGCACCAACCCCGACCCTCCGAGCAGGTGCCTGCTTCTTGTGGTGGGTGGGTGGTGGCCAGACAGTAAGTTCTACAACCGACCCCGCTCACTGATTCCAGGCTCACCCAACAGTCTGCTGACAGGTCTGGCTTTCCATGTAGACCCACCCACCTTCTGGGGAATCAACATTCAACTAGCCAGTAAGTCAAAGGGAAACTCCAGAACTTGCATGTGCCTCCTTGGTAAGTACACGGACCAGCACTGTCACATACGGTCTCTATGAGGGTTGTCAGTGTGACCGCTCCCCTGGTTGCTGAACATGCATGGGCCTGATGTGTGTAAACCAGCAACGTCACACATGGTCTCTACGAGGATGGTCAGTGTGACCGCTCCCCTGGTTCCTGAACATGCATGGGCCTGATGTGTGTAAACCAGCGCTGTCACACATGGTCTCTGCGAGGGTGGTCAGTGCGATCTCTCCCCCTTTGCCCAGTGAGTTTAGCACCACCTCAGTGGGAGCTTCCTAGCCTTCCAACCTGGTCTAGTGAATGAACGAAGTGTCTGAGTGACTCCCCCAGTGTGGCTCGTCCTGGCCTGTGCCAGCTGCCTGCCAGCTGCCTCCCCAGGGACGATCCTTCTCCCTACTGCTGAGTCAGAGTTGCAAAGAGAATGTTATTTGACACCCATTCTGCACAATTCTGGGGTTTCATTTCCAGAGGTACACAACCTTTAAAGCTGTGCTTGTTTGTGAACGTGAGCTAGCAAAGAGGCAATTACCGCCAATTTAACAGTTCCATATTGTAAATACAAGGAGGGCTCTAACTAAAAACCAAGCTATTTAAATAGTTCTATTCACAGCTATAAATGGAAAAGCAAACAAAAATGGATAACTGCATTTCATAATACAGGTATAAAATATTCTAGGAATTGTCACCCTTTCTACATTTTACTAATTATCTATAGTGACTATGTATTAAATTTATAATTTTAAAGTTATTAAGACATTGCACAACACCATGCCTATAGTAAGAGCCAGTGAATAGTACATTTTAAATGGGTAAAGTGTATGGTATATAAACTGTATCTCAGTAAAGTTACTAAAAAATGTTTTGAAAAAAGGTGAATTCAAAAAAATCCTGAAATGGAGTGTGACTTAGAAACCTCTGTCTGAATGCCATTCCAGCACCATCTCTGAGTCCACCACCCGCGGGGGAAGGCCGGAAGGACCACCCAGGAGGGTGATCTCCAAGTCCCAGCCACAAAGCCGGGCTGCCCTGGGCTGGCCCCAAGGGAGGCCACCGGCAGCCTCCCTGGTGAGTGCTCACGCCTCAGAGGTGCCCCCTTCACTAGGGTTACTGTTCCTGAAAGTTCATTGCATTTCTGTACATTGTTTGGGAATTGTTAATGCTACTCTTAGCATTTCTGTGCGGCTTTCTATCACTAAAATGACTGATTTTTAGAAGCAGCAGTAAATATTCCACATTACAAACGTCCCTGGTTTCCTTCTGAAGTTAAATGTTGATGTTCTGCACTCAATTAATTTGGCTAAGAGTTGAACATACTCTGTTTACTATGTTTTCTGCTACCACAGATTCAAAGGTTAGCATCCTTCATTTTCCTATCATTTCCTATGTCTGCTTGACTGGATGCGTTTCCAAAGGGGATGAAGAGAGTACCTTTTCATCTCAATAACAAACTTCACAGGAAATTCTCAACCACACTTCTTTTTTGTTTTTTTGTTAATCCCCATCAGAGGATATTTTTTTCCATTTATTTTTAGAGAGTGGATGAGAGGGAGGGCAAGGAAGAGGAAGAGACAGAGACAGAGAGATCAGTTGTCTCCTGCATGCACCCAACCAGGGCGGGAGATTGAACTTGGAACACAGGTTCGAACCCATGGCCCTTTGATGGGAGGGCCGACACTCACACCAGCCAGGGCTTAACCAAATTCCTTCCCTCCCTCCCTCCCTCCCTCCCTCTTTCCTTTCTTTTTTTTTTAAAATATATTTTATTGATTTTTTACAGAGAGAAAGGGAGAGAGATAGAGAGTTAGAAACATCGATGGGAGAGAAACATCGATCAGCTGCCTCCTGCACATCTCCCACTAGGGATGTGCCCGCAACCCAGGTACATGCCCTTGGCCGGAATCGAACCTGGGACCTTTCAGTCCGCAGGCCGACGCTCTATCCACTGAGCCAAACCGGTTTCGGCTCTTTCCTTTCTTTTTAATATATTTTTGATTTTTTTACAGAGAGGAAGGGAGAAGGATAGAGAGTCAGAAACATTGATGAGAGAGAAACATCGATCAGTTGCCTCCTGCACACCCCCTACTCGGGATGTGCCTGTAACCAAGGTACATGCCCTTGACTGGAATTGAACCTGGGACCCTTCAGTCCGCAGGCCGACGCTCTATCCATTGAGCCAAACCGTTAGGGCTCTTTCTTTCTTTTTAATATTTTTAAAATTGATTTCAGAGAGGAAGGGAGAGTTAGAAAGAGAGAGAGAAACATCAATGATGAGAGAGAATCATTGATTGGCTGCCTCCGGCATGCCTTCCACTGGGGATGGAGCCTGAAACCGGGGCAGGTGCCCCTGACCAGAATCGATCCCAGGACTCTTCAGTCCACAGGCCGACACTATCCACTGAGTCAAACCAGCTAGGGCTCAACCAAATTTCTAATACAGAAGAGGAGAACCAGATGGCATCAAGGAGACAAACAATTGTTTTGAGACTAAGGGGTCATCACGCTTATTAGTATTCCATATTGTATTCCATTATAATCTACCACTTATGTTACATTGCTTCCTCCTCACTAGGACAAGCTCCTTGACTAGGCAAGAGCAGGTATTTTTAATTCTTACTTTATACATGAATAAACTGAAGGGAAATTAAACGTCATGGGACCAGTAAGGGACACTACGAGAAAGTCATCCAGCTCCTTTCCACAGCAGTTCCAAACCCCCTGGCATCGGGACAGTGAGAGCTGGGCAGGTGCACAGCACACGCGGCCAGGCCAAACCCAGGCCTTCACTGTGGAGTGAGGTGGCCAGTCCAGTTACCTCCTTCCTCTTCCTGTTTACTTACTAGTGGGAAAAGAAAGGATGCTCTTTCTTGCTTCCTATATTTCCAGGAGTTTCGAGGTTTACAAAGTTGGTTCAAAGAAAACACAACAGTCTACAACGATATAGAAGCTAATTTCTGTTAGGAAATGGATGACCACTTTCCATTGTTCCAGTGAACTAAGGGGTTGAAAGAACTTCAAGAACTCTCAAAGGATTGATGCTTATTTCAGAAATTGTTAAACTTACGAGGGTGATAGCTATATTCTTACTATATGTTACTTTCTCAAAAATGATAAAAATGAAATCAATAGTATTAGTCACATTGTGACTTATTTATAAACTTTAAAGATTTGTGAATCTGTATCCTTTCCAACAGGACACAAGAAGATTGCATGCTTTATGCTACTACAGTGTAACAACACTTAGAAACAGGGCACCTTAATCAAGCCTCAGAGACGAAACTGCCTGCCATTCACACTCTGGGACTGCCGAGCGCAGCCCGCTTCCTAGTCCGTGCGCGTGAGTGCTTACCTCAGTAAGGCCTTTAATCTTCAGGTACCCACAAAGGTAAGAGTTCCCCGTGTCCACATGCTGGAAAAAAGGACACACAGCCTCGTTACAAATGGAGGAGCCACCGGGAGACAAGCAGGAGTCACTTTCCAGTGATCATCCTTGAGACGAAGTCGAGGTAGGGAGACCTGCAGACCAGGGCCCACCAGTGCAACCAGGGTCAGCTGTGAGTCTTCTCCATCCACGCGAAGACTCGGATGATTCAGATGAAGCTCAACTTCATTCGGCTGAGTATCATGAGACCAAAGTCCCCTTCTGGACTAGCAGCTCGCTCCAGCCCCATCTCTGTACTGCCTTCAATTCCAGGCTCCCTTCTGACTACAGATTTTGTGCATCCCTGGCCAGTAGGCCTCCCTTTCTACCTGTACACATGGTGTCACTCCTAACCTGGGCTTCATCTGCTTTCTAATGCTTTTTTGGCCTATTTTTGCCTCCATGCTGCTCAGTCACTGGTCTAACAAGTCCACTGTATTTACATTAAGCATATCTTGCGTTATTTATGAAATGGGCAGAAGAGTCAGGGAAGGCATCTTTCAAAGACTTGTGGTATAAATTTGTTATACCCCAAATCAGAATACACTGTGCATGCCTGCTCTGCTCTCTTCATGCACAGCTGCTTGTATTTCTTGAAGAGAAGAGCCTAAAATAAACAGGAGTAACAGGTGTAGATTTTGAGGTTTAGCAGCCACCCAACAACCAATTTCCTACTTTTTCACACTGGCAGGACCCAGATCCTGTACTGGCACCAACCCTGGCCCTGCAAGACCTGCTAACCCCTGATGGCTCCAAGGCAAACATGTGCCCCAGGCCCTGTGAGCTGTCGGTTTACGGGTGAGGGACTCAGTTCTGGCCAGTGGATGTGTGCATGTCTCCTGGGTGCAGCTGGGAGATACTCTGGCTGCTGGAGAGGCTCTTTTCTCCCCCTTGTGGTGGCAGTATCTGCATGCAGTGCCCGGCCCGGGGCAGTCATCTAGATATTATGAGGAGAAACAGGCTGGGAAATGCCAAGGATGGCAGCACGGAAAGACAAAAAGAAATGGGCCCCTGAATGAGCCAATCGGGAACCAAGCCACCTCTCAATTTCTTGTGCTGTGACATAATGGGTCCCCTTTTCTCTAAGCTACTCTGAAATGGTTACTTGCAGCTGGATGCATACTAACTAGTGCATTTTACCCTAATCTATACAGAGTCATCCCGAATAGGCAGATTTTTCAGATTTTATGACAATTGGATTAATTTACAAAGTAAAATCCTGGAATTAAAGCAAAATAAAGTACAATGGTGCTGTAGCACATTGACATTTTAATGTGAAATGAGTTCTCATTTTAAGACACTAGAAAAGTTTTGTGGAATTTATCAGATTTGGGGACTCAACTACTTCCAATTACACAGTAAATCAAATACTAAGGCGATCCTCAAAAACTGTAATGAACTCACTCAGCCAGATGAGGTCAGCACCACAGCAAATGGGCTTCAGTGAAACCAAAGTGCTCCCAGTTTGGAGCTGGTGACCAAAGTATTCCATGTGAAAACTGCCAGAGCGTTTTAAATGTCCCATCTGCTGGCCCTGGATGTTACTGAAGCAGCTGATCCGCACTAATGTGGTTCTGCACAGAACTTTTATTAAAAGATACACAACTCTAACCCGAGGCCTTAAATTTCATGTATGCAATTCTCACTGAATTCAATATAGTTTGGGGTTTCACAGCTGCTGGAAGGATATCAGGTGGCAAAGATACTTGCTAATAAGATTAAAACTTAAACCACAAATTGGCTAACATTTTGCAAGGATTATCACAAGAATCAGAATTTCAATTTGCCTTTCATTCAACCATGTGTCTCTCCCATTTTGCCCAAACTGATCGTGGTGACGGGTGGTGAACTCAAATGCACCCAGTGTAGAGAGCTTTAACCAAAGGACAGGCCAGCATCTCAGTGAGAAGAGTAAGGCAAATGCTTAGCAAGGTCTCACAGCACAGTTGTACCCAACAGCTGCTTTTTAAAATATTCCTCTCACACTGACCCTGGCCCTCACTTTACTCTTGGCTTCTTAGATGGCAGGAGATAAACAACCACCACCCCAAGCAGAATCTCACGAAGTTTGAGGAACTCTTTAAACTGGAATCTCAAAAAGAGAAAGCACTCCAAAGACCACAGGCAGAGCTGAGCAACACCATCATTCGTCAGGGAAGTGCAACTCCAAACCACAATGATGATACCACTTCACACCCTCGAGGTTGGCTACAATAAGAAAGACGGACACCGGCAAGTGCTGGTGAGGATGTGGAGCCACTGCCACCCGCATACACTGCTGGTGGGAACGTAAAACGGTGCAGTCACTGGAAAGCAGTCTGGCAGTTTCTCAAAATGTTCAACAGAGTTACCATGTGACCCAGCAATTCCACTCCTAGGGATCTAGCCAAGAGAAATGAAAACACATGTCCACACAAAACCTGTAATGTATGCTCACAGCAGCATTATTCGTAACAGCCAAAAAGGGGAAACAACCCAAATGCCCCTCAACTGATCAGTGGATAAGTAAAATGTTGTATGCCCATACAATGTATTATGCAACAATAAAAAGGATTGAGGCAGACACATGCTGGGATATGGGTAAATCCTAAAAACACGCTCAGTGGAAAAAGCTAGACTCAAAAGGTCACATATTGTACAATTTCATTTACATGAAATGTCCAGAATAAGCAAATCTTAGAAAAAAATTAGTGGTTGCCTAGAGTTGGAAGGGGTTTGGGGTTTCTTTTCAAGGTGATGAAATTAGATTGCAGTGACGTATACAACTTCTGTGAATATACTAAAAGCTATTGAATTGTACGCATCAAGTGGGTGACTCTTATGCTAAGTGAATTATCCTATATAATAACTCTAATATGCAAATCGACCGAATGGCAGAACAACTGGTCACTATGATGCATGCTGACCACCAGGGGGCAGACGCTCAATGCAGGAGCTGCCCCCTGGTGGTCAGTGCGTTCCCACGGGGGGAGCGCTGCTCAGCCAGAAGCCGGGCTCGCTGCTCCTTAGCTCTGCCTTGGAGGCAGGAGGCTCCCACCAATGCCACTGTGCTCGCCAGCTGTGAGCCTGGCTTCTTATTGCAGGCGGGCAGTAAGGAGCAAGGGGTCCTGGACTGTGAGAGGGCCTAAGCCGGCAGTTGGATACCCCCGAGTGGCCCCAGACTACGAGAGGGCGCAGGCCAGGCTGAGGGACACCTCCACCCCTGCACTTCCCCCCTCAGTGCATGATATTTCGTGCACCGGGCCTCTAGTATCTAAATAAAGCTGTTGTGCCCTAGCCAGTTTGGCTCAGTAGATAAGAGTGTCAGCTCTTGGACTGAAGAGCCTCTGGTTTGATTCTGATCAGGGGCACATCTCTAGGTTGCAGGCTCGATCCCTGGTGCCCAGGTCAGGGGTGTGTGCAGGAGGCAACCAATCGATGTGTCTCTCTCATATCGATGTTTCTCTCTCTATGTCTCTCCCCTTTCTTTCCACT